TATATATATATATATATATATTCCGTATTTAAAATGTTTTTCTTTCAACAATTTAGAATATCGGCATTTACAGCAAGATTTAATTTTCTTAGAAATTTCTGTCATTGTTCAGTAAAAAATCATCGGCATAGTGGTCTTAATTTTAAAAAGTGATGATATTGGAATGGAAGCACGGTAAGCTTTGCGGAAGTTAAGCGCGCTTGTGCCCACCAGGCAGTAAGAGCTGTCGTTCATAAAACCCTGCACCTAATTGATCCTAGCTTGCTATATGTTAGATTACTCCTAAAAAAAGCGAAATCCGATGTGGGACCTGGCGGAAGACACAACGTTTGTGAACGACGTTGTGGACTATGTTGGTACCTACTATCCTCTACCTTCTCCGTTCCAAATTACGCGGTCATTACAGATCACGCAACACTACTGGAGAGGTATGTTAACTGCAGGATTCGAACCGATACACTGTCCCTTGACGCAGGCACCACTGCCACTGCGCCAAAGCGGTCTGTGAACATACCTGCAACATCCAGTGGCCCAAGTTGAGGCGTTCCTTGTGTGGTACCTGGCGAGTTCTGCATGAAAGTGACATTCTGAGCTTGCTGGAACAATGGATTTTGCATCTAAATGTGTTTACGATCGTCTTGGACAATATGCTAAAAATCAAATTAATCTAGTAAATAAGGGAAAGTGGGGAAGAAAGGACCGCACTGCTTCGATCCCCATGCTACTCTCTTTATTATTATACCCTTTTTGTTGTAACTGTATATAGACAGCAACAGTTGCCACGGCTAGCAGCGTTTGTTTTTCCAGCCGCTACTGTCACTCATTCGATTACAGCGCTGACTGAGAAAGGTCAGTGATCGTAAATGGTTAGTGAATTCAATTTCTAAGGTTTTTGCAAATAGCAAACTAAGGGAAACATAAAGTTTGAAGAACCGTGAGCCAAAAAGTTCCAAATCACAATCTAGGCAGCTCATAGGGTAGGTGAGAAATAATTATAGAAAAAAAAAACCTTCTGTATGGCGGCAACCATATTATTCAGATGATGTCCCTGAAGCGAAGAGAGACCATGGGCAGATGGGGCCAGACCTGCTGCCAGGACAGGTTGTTGAGGCACAGCGCCTGGAGCAAGTTGTTCCCCGGTAGCACCGACAAACTAAAAAGGTTGAAATAGCATCTTAACTGGCATTTTTAGTCAAATCAAAAAGTACAAACCAACAGATAAAATTTATGCTTTCCTATCACATGCTTTACTGTTTCCAACGTAACATAGTCATGAGTTAGTTAGAGCTGTCAAGCTTTGAGGTACCCATAATATTAAGTCATCTTAGAACTGTTGCAAAAGAAGCGCGGACAAAATTCCGATCTATCTTTTTACTTTCAAACTCCAATCTGCGTCTTGAAAACATACGAAGTTTCAAACGGACAAATATCAATCAGGATCATGACTTTTCTGGAGCAGCCTGAATGAGCACTAACTCTCAATAATATAGCAAAAAGTGACAATGTTGGAGTAGTGATTTTGAGATTCTAAAGCCTAAACATGATACTCTCACTACAAGATTATAACCACTGTGAGACTTAACTAAATCAGAAATTTACTTCCTTAAAATGAAAACAATATGCATCCTCCTGGGCTGATCAGTGGATCAGAATAAAAGAGAAACAAGAGGACGTACTTGAATATCATTTGAATTATCTTATCTTTCTTTCGCAATTTATTGCCTTTACAAATCTAGACAAAAGTTAGAAAGGTGCATATTCTATATTCTTTGAAGATGTAACGTTAGAGCTCTTTATAGCAACTATGGTCCAATAAGGCTTCATTTTCCCTAAGAAGCTGCACTGACGTTTTCACATCTTTGAAAGAACTTACAGGGACTTCACCGCTCATTTGGAGAGATTCGCACTGGTATGTGTTTTTGAGAATAAGAATTTTAGAAATTTAACACTTGAGCAAGAAGCAAACTAGGTTTAAACGTTTAGTAAGCTTCCCTACAAAAGGATTACAAAGTTTGATTTTACTCAAAACTCAAGGGAGAAAGGCACAGAGATAGCCGCTGAGGCTGCCCATAATAACACGCAATGTACAGCCAATCTACCGTGCTTCAAGGCAGTTATTCACATTTACTTAAAGTTACACTAACATGATTATAGTTGACAGAAGCTCTCTACTATATATGAAACATTGGAAAATCTTTATTCGAACGAATGAGTATCATTCGATGCCATTTAAAATATATTCGTATTCGAATTATCTAACAACTAGGCATGCGTTTTTTCGAACATTCGACTATTCGAGTGGCAGATATCGAATCATTCGAACATTTCAGCCGAACATTATTATCAGTCTTAACCATATTAATGATGAAGATATTCGATTGACCAGATATTCGATGATTTCGCAGACATTCGAACGATGATATTATTCGAATCTCAGCTCCAAAACCATTCGAACTCAAATATTCACATGTTGATGTATTAATTCGACTAACTGAATAATCGAATACATGCTTTCATACTATTAGAAGAAAATCCAACAAATGCGCTATATCGAATACTAAAAGTAATCTAATTATTCGACATGTTCGAAGATTTTATTCGAACACGTATATTCAGCTCAACTGTGTTCTCTACCCATTTTTGGACAAACCTAATTTTGGGGCAGACAAAGAAACAAACAAACAAACAAGTCAAAGACATATCCACGTAACACATATATACAAACAGACTAAGCCCTTTATTACAAGTCATGATGAAACCTTCTCACACGGTGCCAACTGTTGATCAAACGACATATAA